TTTAACAAGGCAATAGATGGATTCTTCATGGAGAAGATCCAAACCTGACATCAGTCTTAGTCTTGTTTGGATGTAGGATGCATAACTTTTGACTATTCATGTGGGACTGGCTGTATAGTAATTTTATGAAAAATTACCGCTATATAACTATATTCAAAAGATTGTTTTGACACATATAGACATCTAGCTGAAGGAGAAATTGGTAAGAGAAAACTTGTTACTAAACATAAGCCTGAGTTATCTTATTTTTGATGAAAATTACAATCCAAAATCTTAACTCTTGCTTGATATTTTAATTCGTCGGTGCTATTTGTTTGATTCTGCATCTACAAAATATCAGCAGCGCTGTATATTAATATTGTTACTGTTTCCACGTTCATTAATTTAGGGAAATCTTCCAAAGTGTTGTGTCTCATTTCTCTGTTCTTCCTCTAGGTAAAAAACCTGCATCTTATTACTTCAATTATATTAGAATTCATTACTGAAGATATGTTTGCCGCACTCTTACACATAACTATAATGCTTCTTGGTTTCATATGATGCACTAATTGTTAATCATGATTTATCCTCAATTTCTGTTGGGTCATGTTACAATACTGCAAATTGTTGAGGCATTTGGTGAAGGAAGAAAGATTGTCAAAGGGCGTGGAGCTAGAGGACATGCATTTACATGTATGAAAAGTGTTATGCATTCAGATGAAAAAGATATCATCAATAGGGGAATAAAAAATAAAAGCATGCAAGGTCCTTAGAGACGTTCAAAGTGTTTTTCATGTATCCTGGCTTTGTTTGGAACAGTGACATGCATGCGTATATTGGAAGCAGATGATGACCTGCGGGAGCCTGAGAGGTAAACATAAGCCTCAAGTGTGGGTTCATGTTATTGTTGACGAAAATTACAATCCAAAATCTTAACTCCTGCTTGATGTTTTAATTGGCCCGCGTTGTTGTTTTGGTTCTTCATCTACAAAATATTAGCAGCACTGTCTTACAAAGTGTTTCCACATTCATTAATTTAATGAAATCTTGCAAAGTGTTGCTTCTCATTTCGCTGTTCTTCCTCTAGGCAAAAACCTGCGTCTTATTACTTCAATTATATTAGAATTTGTTACTGAAGATATTTCTGCTGCACTCTTGTACATAACTATAATGCTTCTTGGTTTCATATTATGCATTCATTATTAATGATGATTTAGTCTCAATTTCTGTTGAGTCATGTTAAAGTACTCCAAAATGTTGAGGCATCTCGCGTGGGAAGAAAGATTATCAAAGGGTGTGGAGCTAGAGGACAAGTGTCACGTATATATAAAAAATGTGATGCAATCGTAGAGGGATGAAAAGGATATCATCATGATTGGGATAAAATCTAATTTTTGGCTCAAGCCCAACTCAAGTTCCTAGATGGAAAGAGGTTAACAGGAGGAAGTGATAACTGACACCACCTTGGGAAATGGGAGGAAATGATGCAAGTTGGGATAATACGACAGCAAGTGGCCCTAAAAGAGTGGAATATAGAGCTCGAGAAAAATTGCCACCTTGCTTATAAAGGGGAAGTAAGGAACCCTTCAAAGAAATCTCCAATCCCTTCAACACCTGAACCCAGACAGAGACAATGTACAGACGCTTCATCTATCAAAATTATGTTTAGTTCCTCTAGATTAGCATGCATCCATTAGAGAGCAGCACGCCTTCTGCATACAATAGAGTAGCACCTCTCAGTAGAACAGTAGCATCACCGCCCTGGTGTTTTTCTTATGTTTTTTTTTTCTTTTTTCCGTATTATAGTTTCTGCAATTTATGTCAGAATAATAATATTACCATGTCTGCTACTTTTTTATGGTTCTTGCATTTTGCTCCTCTATTTTTAAGTTTGCATTCAGGTGTATTATGGCAAGGGATTCCAGGAACTTCTGTTTGGTTTAGAAATCAGGTTTATCGTACTATTTGAGCTTTAGCATAAAAAACTGAGGATGCCCTCAATGAATTTTACCCATGTCATCCAAGTAGCAGAATTGCTAGATAGCCTCAGACCTCAATATTGCATCCATGGACCTAGTTAAGCTCCCTAAGCCTTCGTTAATAGAATCCTTGTAAAATATGAAGCACCTTCAGCAAATTGAATTCTCATGGTTGAAAATTAAATGGGAAGATTCTTTTGTTTCTGATCTAGGTTATAGTCTAGACATGCTTCAAGGGTGAGTATTGATAGGGTTCCATTTGATGATTCATTTGACTTGGCTGAAGGATGCTCCTCTCCTTCAACAGCTTTCCATTAGCGCATACACCAATCAGTGGAAGAAGTGACAAGAGAAGAAGCAACAGCAGACGATTCTTTATTCTCTTCTCTCGGACATCTCTCTCTCTGTGTGGGAATTGCTCGAGTTGAAGAGCATTTATAAGACACTGTTGTCTTCTAATTCCTTGAAATCCATTGAAATATATGCTTGTCCGAAACTGAAGTTGCATGCCATTTGCTGATTCCAACTCTGACTTGCATGAGTTGAGTATTATCAGAGGAGAAGATGATGGAACAATTTGGAGTGGGATGACCCATCCCCTAGGCACAAGTTCCAATCAAAATTTAAAAAATTCACCAATGAGTTACTATCAGAGGTAAATACATTATAATAATACTAATACTACTATTCAGTCTGCTTTTTCTCTCTTATAATTATTGCTTGTAATTAACTAGGTAGTTGCAAATATATCATTGCAGATTACTGGGCCTCATCTATGTAGATATGTAGTTTGAGCACTGGTTTTTGGAAGTTGATTTTAATTTCTCGCAGCTTTTGAGATTGCATAAACTTCTTGTTCGAAGACCCAAGTGTGGCTGACCTTATATCTTAGATTCCCCCCCTCCCTCTGTATTCAACATAAAAAGGAAATGAAAGACCCTTGGTTGGTAGAAAGTGTTTGTAAAATCCTTGCTGTCCAGTTAATCATGAATTTTCTGAATCCATAGAACACATGTTATTACATTGTCAATAGGCTCAATGAGTATGGTTTGGATGTTCCTTGTCTTTTCGTATTCCTAGTGATCATTGGTGTTGGAAGATGCTTGGTCTTATTGGATGTATAATAGTCTCACATCGAGTTATTGAAGAATTAATCACAACTATATAACTGTGTGATGAGCCTTTCTGAATTAACTTATTGTATTTTGGTGTAAGTGACAAGTCTTAATGTATGATGATTAATGTAAAACTCTAACATGGTATTAGAGTCCTTTCAAATTTGTTCAAGCTATTTTGACTTTTTTGATTAACGTAAAGCTCTAAGATGTCCTTAGAGAATTTTGACTACATGAGATAAAGCTCTGATTGTGTGCTTATGCTGGGCATAAGAAAATATCAAAGCGTGGTGGTGTTTGAGTTTGTTGAAACTGATCCATTGAAGGTAATTTTTCCATCAGAGAATTGATAGCTGAATATTGGGCGTTGAATGTTAATAGAGTGCCAAATACTATGTCTTTTGACCACAATGTTCATATATATATGTGGTTTCCCCTTCACTGAATCAAATTAAGTTAAACGTAAATGGTTCTCATTTTAAGGTGTTGTCATTTGTGATCATCATGGGAGTACTTGTTGATGGTATAGCAACGATTGTTCATGTTTGCCTGCATCCTCTTTATTGGAAATGGTATTGCAAGGAAAATTAATTATTTCACATGCTTTATGGCAATATATCCATGCTTGATCATTATTTGTCCATAGGTTGGTCTTATATCATTTACCATTTATTTGGAGGGGAAAAAAATAAGGAGAAAAGAAAACTTCTAAACATAGTAAAAAAAATTTATTATTTTTTTAAAATTTTCCTTTTAGTTTTCTCTCTCTTTTTTTTCCTTCTCGCTTTTCTTTCCATTCAAATTAAGCATTTATGAAAAATTAATATGAAAATCCTTATAATTTCTTTGTGGCAATCTATGTCCATGAAAAAACAAATCATTATTTAATCTAGCTATGTGGCAATATACGTCCATGAATGTGCATAGTCAGATCTTATTTAGCATTAACAAATCAATTGAGACTGAATGAAAAGAAAAGTCCTACAGGGACTTCAACAAATTTTAAAATTATAGGGACTTGGCAAATTAATTTGTCCATATCAATATACAAAGACGATGGCAAGTGAAGTGAATATAAAATCAATGGCGTTATTCTCTACTCTCCTCCCTTCGAATTTACTTTTTTTTTTTTTTTTTTGCTCAGCGAATTTTTCGAACCAAAAAAAAGAACACACACACAAAACATGGTTTTAGATTTTACTTTTTTGAATTAGAAAAATTACTCCTAAACCTCACAAAAGAGATTTAATTATTAAGAGGTTCCATGAGATATATAAAATATTTTTTAAATTTTAAATCTTATACATTTATAACTTAATAAAGGGTTTACAATTAGGCAACTTGCAAATTGTAAATGCCCATCGTTTGGTTGCAAATATCCTTTGTTAAGTTGTAAATGCATAGAATTTAAGATTTATAAGTATTTTGTACATTTTATGTAACTTCTTGGTAATTAAATATCTTCTATGAATCCTAAGTGTAATTTTCCCTTTGAATCAATATATAATGAATTTTTTTAATATATGTTATTATTCTATTTTAATTTGGATGTATAAGTTTTTAAAAGGATATAATATTCATGCATTTTTACGGTGTGAGTAATCTAATTATCCACCCAACAAAGTAGAAATAAAAGAAAATAAATTTTGAACTTCTATCATGCGCTACCTCTAAAACTTTTTACAAGAAACAAATGCCTAATTTATGATGATTAAGTAAAGTATTTTCTTCATGCAAAATTATAAGTCATTTTTAGCTAATTTTAACAATTATTTACTCTTTTTGCCTCTGCCCAGTCAGTGGGAATTTACATAAGTTTATCTATATTGTACCTATTTATATGGTCATTTTTATAGAAAATTAGAGGAAAAAAATATAAATCAGGAAAAGAAAGAAAAAGGATCAATGTCCAACCTTCAGGCTCAAAAATAAATCTCCATCCATGGAGTAGGGAAAACTGAGTCTCTCTGCTCATGGACGCAAGAAAAGCGAGGATCTTCATTGAGTTCAGCCATGTCCGCTCGCGGCCGTACGAAGACAAAATCTCTGCCCACAGACGTAATCAACACGAAGAAGACCATCCACAGGAAGCTCGTCAGTGCGCAGAAACTACATGAGGGAAATTCCATCGCGTGCGGACATCTTAAGGCTCGATGTTTCACCATGCCCACTTGCCCAGAGGAGCTCGTGGAAATGCAACCTTCATCATTCGATCACGCCAGGACATGGAGAAGAGGAATTCGACAGCAAATGGATGTGAAGAAAAATAGGTGGCAGAAGCTTTATCTAAAATCCAAATGTGAGATTAAACAATATCTTGTCAAATTAGATAGTTTATTTAAACAAAGCCCTTGCGAACTTCTAAAAGCATTGAGGTTTATATATGAAATTTAGAGGGGAAATCTGGATATTAAACCAATGTTTGAAAGGTGTCCTCGAAGCTTGGCGAGACAACTAAGCGATTCTTGAATAAATATTATAGGGTTATCCTATTCTATTTCATGCTTTTTAATTTTTGCATTGAATTTAAATTTTTTTACATATTTAGCAATATGAGTAGCTAATTTTCTTTTATTTTTATAAATTATAGGAACCTTTAATGTTTTATAGGTAAATTTTTTTTAGTTATTTATTTTGATGGATGCTTTAATACTTAATATAATTTATTTTTTTTTTATATTATTGGATGGCCAACTATAGTTTATGTTTTGATCTTGAAATTTAGCTTTAACAAAAGAGAATATAATTTATGCTTGAAATAGATATATACTCAATGATACTAAGTATGTTTTATAATTAATGGATATATAATTTAATTTAAAGCCTTAATTTTAAAGTTAAACTAAAGTGTGATAATAAAAAAAAATTAAATTGTAAAATATAAAAGCGAATTGAAATTGCTAGGGCATTATTTAATTGTTAATTTTAACTTGGATATATTCTTTGACATTTTTTTATGTTACAGAAAATACAATCTTTAATTTTCATAATTTCTTTTGTCTTTTAGTTCCTTATAGTTTACATATTTTTCAATGGTTTTATATTTGAAAGAATTTCAGAAATCTACTTGGCCTTAAATTTTTCTAAAGCCTAAATATTTTATAATTTTATTTATTTTCATTTTTTTGAATTTCATTTTTCAGTGAAAATATATTATCCTATCAAGTTCTTAACAATTTTATATTTTCATTTTTCATTCTCCTTTGGTGGAATGAGGGGGGCGATGGAAGTCTTTTAAACAATTTAAAATTAAAATAACCATAATATAAATTTATCTCAGTAAAAAATTTGAATAATTAATTTTTTTAATTCAATTTTTTTAATTATACTTGGAAAATACATGTAATTTCATAATCTTTTCTCTTATTCTTCATTTCTTTTTCTTATAAAAAAAAAATGCTCTCCCTCTCTTCCATGGTTGGCTTGTTGCTCTCCTTGGCAGTTTAGATACAGTGCTCGCGGGTAGAGAAGAATGCGAAGAGCCAGACTGAGAAATGCAAGAGACCAGACACCAGAAAGCTCACCTTCAAGATTTCGCTCATCGCAACATCATCGACCATAGGGTTCTCAACCTATCTGAATCTCACTTACCTTTTTCTTCTTCTTCAAGACCCTTCCCCAGAAGAATTCTGCATCCAGGTGGCTATGCTGGACAACATGTTCACCTTCTTCCTGAATCTCCCTCGCCCATTTGCAGCCATCCCTTAAAGATTTCATCTTCCGACTCAGACACCTTCTACTCTGACATTGCTTCCCATTTCCCCTCTCCAAGAAACCAGGTATCGTTTCCAATTCAAGAAACATCGTCGTTGAATGATCAATTTCGGTCATTCCAGCTAATAATTTACTTCCTTTTTTCGGTATTTTTTTTCTTAGTTTATTTACTCTGATCATCTGGATTTGTTTGCGTCTTTGTGCAATGACATGGTGATGAATCTTTCTGTTCTCTATTTCGTTGCCATTTTTGTATTCTCTGTTCTTGGTTTTATAAGTTGACCTTGTTAGAAGTATTATGTTTGGTGCTTTGATCGTTTTTCTTGAACCTGAAGAATGAAGTGCTTTGGAATAGTTAACAGCCACACTATGGATTAGTAATAATCATGCGTAAATGAAGGTGTCTCAATTCTAGTTAAGAACAAATATATATATATATATATATATTATAATAAGCTAATCAAGTCATGCACTCTTCTTGAACTGATGTGATTTTATTTGTGAAAACTAATCAGTTGCTACAATAATTTTAAGTGATAATCATTTCTAAGTTAGGTTCGTCTTTTGCTTCCCGACCAAGTAATTGCGAATACGTGCACTTTCAAGCAAATGCATCCTCTGGTTTTTTGGTTGCCCAACCTGAAGTCGGCATTTTAATTCCAGTCATGCTTCTTGAGGATGATTACTGATGCTCCTTTCTTTCCTGATATGGCTATGAAATTCGTGGATTCCGATCACCCAATGTGATTCTGAAGTTGATTTTGAAAATTAATAGATAGATGCAGTGTGTAGGATCACTTGAGCAATAGATTTCATTTGAATGTTGGACCTCATAATGTGTGTGGATCTCATATATTCATTGCCTAATAGATCCAAAAATGAAATTTCTTGATTTGATATTATCTTTTACTTTTATCACATAATGAGGAACTCACATTTCTATGTTCGACTATTGAAATCTCAGAGCTTTGGAACATCCTGCAACGAGGACAATAACTGTTCCTCATGCTACTGTGAAATAGAAGAGTGGTTGGAGCACGCAAACAAATTTTGCAGACCTTTTAACTTTAATGCCAGATATCATTTATCATCAGATACTGGTGATAGTTTGGATCAAAATGGAAGAAGCCCAGAAGTCAAATTGAGCATATCATCGATATGCAAAAAGTTTCTTGATCATGAACTTTACAGCAACACACAACCTTCAGCTAATGAGAGTACTGTTTATGGAAGTCAAAGTTGTCTTGCCTGCATAAACAGCGTGTATGGAACATCAAAATCTGAAAGAGATCAGGGACAAAGAAAGTTGTTGAGCAGGCCCAAACCTTATAAAGCCTACTTGAATGAAATCGAAATGCAGAAGCTGGAAACTGAAAGAGATTCGTGGAAGAGAGCCAGACATCTTGAGCTGTTGGAAAGGTATGAATTGAGAGGGAGCAAGACAAGAAAGGAATACTACATTATTTTTACTGAAAATTAGGTGATATAGAATATGAAAAATGAAGTACACTGTTCATAACTTGTTTGCTATAAATTTTATATTTTATATTGAATACTGATTTCTTGCATACTAATGGGGCATGATAGCATGTGCAATAAACACAACACACACACATGAAACCTTAGATCTGCTGAAGCAGTAATTCAACTGAAATGAAGAAAAATGAAAGTGAAAGGATGGGCCCACCTCTACTCTTGTTGGTCCTATAAGTGGTGAAGCTCGCCCATCTTTCTTTTTCTTTCCTTCTTTTCACTCCAAATGCATTTATGTTTAGGAGATCCTAGTTACAGATACATGTCGTTATTATACAGTAGAGACACAAGAATTATTCACAGTTTAGCTGTTTGAACTATTGCCTAATTATTGGGTGAGCACGTGAACTTTCAAATCTGACAAAAGAGGTCGTCTATTCACTTGAACTAACAATCTCTATAAACCAGCATTTGGTTTGAAGGAAAATGCAGACATACGAAATTGCGTGAGGATCATGGGGACTATTGTTTATTTTATCCCGAATTTATTGTTTTCATTGTCGCTCAATGTTTAAGAAGGTATTTTGTTATACTTTAATGATAATGTGCTAATTTTATAACTAGACATTAGTTTGTAAAGTACAACGTTATGGGAAAAAATGAAAGCAGGAAGGTACTCAAATCTTAGTGGAAGCAGTGGATGTGTGCGTGTGTGAATTGATTGAGGAAGCAACTAGCACTGATATGATGATCATGTAAACATTTTGGTAGGATGAGAAGGAAGGAAGCTGCTATAGATGACTGGGAATTGCAGAAAACCAGGATAGCTGTGGAAAAAATGAAGAAACTTCAGCAAAATCTTCAGGTACGTCTTATGATGAATATTAGGATTTATGGTTCTTCATAAAAAAATCAAATGATAATTTTTCTGGCTAATAAAACAAACCATATGACAAAAATATCGTTTTGTTAGCATCTGGAAAATGTTTTCCCCTCTGATCAATCATTCCCCCCTTCTCCCCCCCACCAAAAAAAAGAACCCCACTTCCTTTTTTAAAAGTACTATAATAATTATAATAAAATGGCTATTTAGTGAATATTTAATCAAGCACTTTTAGTTGAATCATTTGTTTGAATGACAAAATTCCTTTTTTTTTTCCAAAAAGGAAATTCATATCTAAAAATGTTAATTTGGTTAATAAATAAGAATAAGCCCCCGTGTCATTGCACTGAGGCGTTTATTAATTTAATTATGGCATGACAATAATTAAGCTACTTTGCTACTTAGAGATATCTTGCTTAAGGGGGATAGAGAAGAATCCAGCTTCCTTTTGTTGTTTTTTGTCTTAACAAATTGTAACGTGCTTTTGCAGAACAAGTTGGAGACAAAACAGCTTGAGGTTGCGTCCAAAACCCAGAAGAAACTATGCTTGCTGAAGCAAAAAGCAGAAAAAAAACAGAAGAGAGATTTGAGGCGAACAACAATAGAGAAGATCTCAACTACTACAAATGTCTCTGGAACACACACTTGCAGTTGCAGAGGATTCACATGTCTCAAACTTGGATCATTCTGTTAAATTCATTATGTATTACTTAGGTATGACCAAAAGAAAAAAAACTATACATATAGATCTATCATCCACAAGGAGATGCGGATTATCGGCGCGGCAAAATTGTGTTTTTTTTCTTATGAGTACGTTACAGTTTAGGTAAACCAGGAAAAACACTGTCAGAGATATTAATTTGTAAATGGTTAAAAAATTAGGCTGTCTCATGCAGCCAATTTGTTGTTTGTTAGCTAGTTTTGAGAGTCACAATATAGTAATATGATTGATTCATCGAGTTTTAAATTGAATTTATTTAATCTAGTTTAACTTGTTGAACGATGATGATGTGATAGTGCTATAGATTATAGAATAGTTTTGGTATTTTCAAAAATATAAATGCTGCGAAATGGAATGATAATTTAAAATGATATAATTTATTAACAAATTTATCTATTAATTAATAAGTAATCTGTCCCTTGACATGAACATTTTCAAACTTATAATGTAACTATTAATTTTTTTTTTTTAATCTAAGGAGTTATGAGTCTAGAGGCGAAATCCAGAAGGGAAGGACGACATCTAAAAGCAAAGTTGTTTGAATGATATATAATAAAATAAACTTTTAATATATAATTATTAAAAAAGACATGAATTTTATGATATGTAATGTTTTGTTTTGTGAAACTTGATTGGTTAAAAAATATGTAAATAATATAAAATTTGATATGGTAAATAATATATAATAATAAATGAGTGAATAATAATATAAAATTTAAGTATAACAAGATCAAAATTAATTGTGAAATAAAAAGATTAGATTTATAATATATCAATTATTAAATACCTTAACGATTGTATTCTTAAAAAAAAATTAAAGTTATATTATACTATTTGTATAGTTAGCAACTTGGCATGAAGGTGGTGGGCTAGAAGAAAGTTCATGTTCAACCGTCAGAAGAAGATATAATTGGCTTTTATTTTTTGGCCAGAAAAGAAGAAAATATAACTGGCTACAAGGGTAACATGGTTAGTTGCCTTATTGAATTAATTACACTCATTATACAAACTGGAAAATGTAAAAGCTATTCTTTTCAAAATGCGAAAAGCTCCACCAGACCAGCTATAAGTTTGTCTTTTAGGGAGAATTACAATTAAAGATCATAGATGAAACTTAATTATTAGTGGGTCTAAAAAAATTTAAAATTTTAATTCAGTTTAGAAAAATTAAAGTGAAAATAATTTCAATAATGAAAAGAGCAAACTACCATTCACTTGTTATGCAGGATCATTAATTGTTAATTTTCCTACTTTACTTATCAATTTATCAATATGAGTTATAAATTATATTTGTTTGTCAGACATGTAGTAATATCAGTTGTTAATTTATTAATATCAGTTGCAAATTATAATACCTATAGTAATTTAATAAGTAAAGTTGGCAATTTAATAATTAATATTATTGTTTCTGATTAAACAACTAATGTCAAGTTTTATACAATTATTGATATATAAATTCATATAATTTACAACTTATATTAATAATTTAACAAGTGGAGTCAAAAAATTAACAACTAATGATTGTGCATAACAAGTGAAGGATATTTTAATTTTTTCACTATTATAAATATTTTTACTTTAATTTTCTTAAACTAAACTAAAATTTTAGATTTTTTTTTTTTTGGAATCCACTGGTGATTAAGTCCCACCATGATCCGTGAAATTCCTTTATTGACCCCAATATCGTTAATGACAGCCCCTTCTTCCTCACTTCATTGTTGTTTTTGAGAATAATAAATATTCTTTTTTATTTAATATATAAGTCATTCTCTAAAGAAAATTTATGGTTCTTTTATGAGTCAATTTCTAAAAAAATATTAATTTTAAAGTTTGATTCATGAAAGTTTGTATGGAGAGCACTGCTCATGAGAGAAAAACCTCTTAGATGATGTTTAAATTTTTTAAGGGATTAATTTTATGACTATTGGAAGATCATACTTTCAAAGAAAAAAAGCTTCTTTTTTTTTAATTTTTGGCTTTTAGCTTTTCGTACTTATTTCAGCTTTTGCCTCTTTTTGTTTTTGAAAGTTTAATATTTTTCTTAAAAGATATCAAATAATTGCGTTCAGTATGTATGTATGTAATTCATATCATTTTCATTGATCATTATATATTTAAACTTATTTTTGAATTAAATTATTTAAATAAGTTTTAATTTGAAACTAACTTTTTGAGTAAAGGGAGTATTCAAACATAAATTGCATTAGCATAATTAACTTTTTTTTCTAATTTTAATTTGTAAACTTCAGTTTTGCAAATTTTCATCCAAACATGCGTTACTAAATATACTGAGGTAATGTTAGTTTTGAATTAAGTTAGGATCAATATTTTAAAAATTAGAATGGACTGAATGATTACCAATTGGACCATTGATTAGAGCCATCAATGGCTTGGTTTAGACTAAAAAATTATTTTTATAATTTAGTGGAATTGAACTAGAGTTGAGTTGTGATTGAGCCAAAAACCTGAACGTTTCAAGAAAACTAAATAAGTCTAAACTTAATATAAATATAGGCTAAAAATTTTTAAAAAAATTCAAAAATTAGACTCCATTAAAAGTCATCTTCATTTTTGGTCCATTCATATTTATATAGCATGATTTGAAATCATTTTTTGAGAAAAGAAGTTGACAGATATAGGTATAAATGCATATACTTTTGAGCTTACTTATGCTTGATTTAACCAAAACCTACCTATATTTGATAAGTTAAAAAATTAAAATTTATAATATTATTTATTTATGATCATGTTATATTATTGTATTAACAATGAGACATGCTATATATTTATTTCTTTTTTATATATAATTATTTGGGCTAAAATTAAGCCCACTTTTGCTTTTAGAAGATGGGTGGTTAATGAGGAAAACTTGATCAAGCACGCACTATTTTAAAAAGATAAGAGTGGAAAGTTATGGGACAAAAAAAAAAAAAAGAAACCATGGGAAAAACTGTCACTTGTGCCTATAAAAAGAAAGCCACCACAACTATACAAGTCTAAATAATCTATCTAAACAATACAAAAGCTCAACCTCGACCAAAATCCACTTGCTGTGCTAGATTCAAACCTTTGACCTTATGTCATTCCAAGCTTGCCCCAACGCGGTCTCTTTTATCCTTCAACAAATTGGACACGGCACCCTTAACGTGTCATGTATTCAACAAAGAGCGGTGAGTTCTCTAACAATTAGTAGATTGTTAGCTCTTAGTAGAATAATAGTAACAATGTGCTAGAGTTTTTTTTTTTTTGCAGTTTTTTATCTTTTATTTCTTGTAATTTCTCTTTTATTTTTACCAATATCATGTCAACTCTCACCATGCAAGGCTCGTATATTTTCTTTATCTTTATTTATTCATTGCCTTTATTTTTAGACACTTGTATTTAAAGAAATTGTGGTAAAAAACCATGCAAGCTCACCATTTGCTTTATAAATCAAGTAAATCACACATTTTAAGGACATGCTCCTTTAGCACGCCTATGCTGCAAACAATAATATTATTTTTTTAATTGTTATGTCACTAGTTCAACTACTTTAATTGATTATATTATAAAAACTGAAATCTGCCAAACATCCAGTTCGGCTTTTAAAGCATTGATTTTTTAATAAGAAATACAATATATATTAGTAATAAAAAGTACACGCAAGCAAAAATTACATAATGAGAGATGAGTGAGTAAACCAAGTGGAATAACTAAAAGACAGAAAAAGAAAAAAAATATAACATCGTGGGTGCCTGGATGTCCGCCGCAGAGAATGTGGCAAAGAATTGAATATCGTGAACCCTTCTCCCCACCTGGCTGTGTGAGAGAGGAAGTTGTGCACGAGGTTCTTCAAGTAGGCGACACGCAAGCTGGCAATAGATGAACCACTATCTGTGAATCGTCCATGAGGCATGCTAAAAACAAAAAAGATGGAATAAGTTGGTATCCTTAATGCTTCGTCTGAATCCAACCATTAATTGAGGAGTACATAAAATTACCAGTTGACAATGATCAGAATAAGGAGATTTAACTCTTTTTTCATGCAAATGTTTTAGTCCTCCTATGCTTCTTTTCTTGATTTGTTCTGCACTATAATAACCAAGCGAAATAAGTCAAAATACACTGAAACAGGACGAGAAAAAGAAGAAGTGTCAACAATGGGACTCGAATCCCTGCCCTTTCGAACCAGTACCTGAAACTGGCGCCTCGGACCAAGTCGGCCATGTTGACTTCCTCTCATGCTACCTAAATCATTATAACCAAAAAATATTTCTATCTTTGTCTTTAATAATTTTTTACCGAATTATCTTATTATGTTTTATACCACAAAAGTATAATTTATGTTCTACATTGTATCGATTAACTAGAAGTCACTTTTTGCAAAGTTGGCGGAATCAATATTTGATGCATAATTTTAAGAAATTATTGAATTTGTAATGTAGTAAATATAATCAAGAATTCAGCAGTGTATCTCATAATTTTAAGAAATTATTGAAGTCACCTTTTCCGTAATTTTTTTTTTTGAGTCAGCTATATGTCATATTTATTTTAACAATTGGAAAAGCTAAAAACCAGTGAATGAATAATAATCATGCTGAAATCCTTTAATTTTTAAAAAATTATTTTTCATTTTCCATGATTCAGGCATGCAAGTGCGATGATTAGTCTATTTTAATATTTATATTGAATTCATCCAATTTTTATAAGTAGCCAAATACATTAACAAATAAAAAGAAAAAGTAGCTACAAGGATAACATTAAAACAAGACTAACAAGCGATTAGGAAAACTAAGAGGGAAAATTAGAAATCTCAGCACCACTCTTTTGCATTGGCGAGAAGCAATGCAAAATGAAATACATTCACTTGAGCGTAATGGGACTTGGACTCTTGAACCCTTGCCACCTGGGAAGCGAGCTATTGATTCTAAATGGGTATATATATAAGACCAAGTACAAGCTGAATGGGGACATTGAGAAATATAAAGCGCGGCTCATAGCTAAGGGGTAGGAAGGGATTGACTTTCATGAGACTTTTGCTCCAGTTGCGAAAATGGTGACAGTATGGACGTTGCTCGCAGTGGCAGCCAAACGGTAATGGATTGTGCATCAGATTGATTCATGTGAATAAAGCATTTTTACATGGTGACTTACATGAAGAAATG